ATATATATATATATATATATATATATATATATTAAAATACATTTTCAGCAGCCATTACTCTAGTTTTCATTGTCACATGATCCTTCAGAAATCATGAAATCATTTAATTAATTCATTCATTTTATTTTAATTTAAATAATTCTAATATGCAAATTTGGTGCTCAAGAAACATTTCTTATAATTACCAATGTTGAAAACAGATGTGTTGCTTAATATTTTGGTGGAAACCATGATATATATAATTTTTCAGGATTCTTAACATCATAAATGCCTTTATTGTAATTTTTAATCAATTTAATGTGTCCTTACTGGACGCATTAAATTGATCAAAAGTAAAACATATATTTATAAAAAAGGTTAAATAAAAAAGTAACACATATACCCCAGTGAAATATATATATATATATATATATATAGATAGATAGATAGATATAGATATATATACATTAAAATGTATTTGAAATACATTTATTTTGTGCTAAGTATACTACAAATATATTTACATATGTATGTGCTTAATAAAAATACCCTGCGATTGTACGTTTGGTATAATAAACTTTTATACTTAAAGTCTGCTAAATTGGAACAACTAATTTTGTGCTTGAAATAAATGTATTTTAAATAAACTGTGGTATAGGGTATAGGGTTTTTTAGGGTATGAAAAATACAAAATACAAAAAAAATGTTTAAAAAAAAAACATGATCATCAGTTCCCTTTCGATACTTCACTTCGTACTGCGTCGCTAGACGCTACGGGAAACTCCTTTTCTACGATTTGCCGAAGCCTTTTTTTCAATCACAGCATCTGCACTGCCATTGTTTCAGAAATGAACCAATGACAGCGCAGCAGAGCTGCGTGAGCCTATGGCGAAGCAGCGCGCCCGAGCCCGCCAAAATGGGCGGGGCATCTGGCTATATAGGCAGATGCTCGGCATAGGATCACTGATTCAACATCTACTGCTCTTCGCTGATTCTACGAGATTTGAAGCCTTCACCTGCAAGCTGATCCAGCCGCCGTTCTGCAGCAGCAAGATCAGCTCGCCACCTCTGCTCTCTGCTCACCGCTTGCAGCTCGCCGCCCACCGCTCGCCGCTCTCAAGCAGCACTGATCAGCACGCCGCTTTGCAGCACCGGATCAGATCGCCGCTTCAAGCAGCTCTGTTCCCGCGTCGCTCTCAAGGCAGCCCCGGTCAGCGCTTCGCTCACAAGCCGTCTGCAGAGCGCCTGTGTTGACGCTATCCTGCTTGTGGTAACAAAAAAAAGAGCAAATTTCTGAGCAAATTTCCTGCGACGTTGTTGCAAATGTTGCGCCACGGCTGTGGCTCGTGCAGGACACCACTGCACACTGATAACGGGCACAGTGAATGCGTGCGATGTCTGGGGAAATCCCACGCTGAAGCCGCGCTCACTGAGACGTCATGCTCCCACTGCGAGAGCATGAGTCTCGCCTCTTTGCGCTCGCGGATAGCTTTCTTTTCAGAAAGC